GATTTACATTATTTATATCATAGTCATATATATCATTATTTACGATTAAAAAAAATAAATTATTAGCTTGAAATTATTAGCTTGCATTGTAACACTTCTATATACATCTTTCTCTTTAAGAAATTTTTAAAAGCTTACTTCTTTACTTCATCACAGAGATATTTAGTTACATAAGGCTTGTCCATCTTATTTCTGAATGTCGTAAATATGACATTCGGACTTAGGAGCAAAAACGATCTTCTTGAATGCACACGTAACACGAATATAAAGGGATGAAATCGGGAAGACATCAGCGAAATCTCATCACGTACAGTTTTGCGATTCTAATAGTCGGAATTTCTAAACCATTTCGCGTAGTCTGTCAAGCTGTGCAACGTAGGTTTAAGATGGCTGTAAAGCATTACATCATAAGTTGATACAATCCGTTTAGATATTCATATTTACAAAACATACAGGGTACTTTGTTTTTATTACGTTCAACAGGTACGGTGCGCGCAATTAGACGAATTCTTTAATGGAAACAGATACGCAATTTGTTGAAATGATCTGATGGAATCAAATTATGTAAGTTAGTAAAATTTAATTCGTGAATGATTACAAATAATGAAATTAAAAGCAAAATCAATTTGAGCCTTGTATCGATTGCAGTCAAAAACAACATCACAATCACCCAATCATCACAGAATCAGCTCAGTTTTCAGACTTTGGTCGCCATTCTTTTCCGTCGGAAGCAATGTGCGAGGTTTGGCAATGGTTTGTTCTTGCAGTTCTTGACCCATCCATTCCAAGCCTTGAATCCGTGCTGATAGAATATCTTCTTGGCACACTCGATGTCTTCCTGTATATCGTCACTTAGAAAGTCCTCGCAGCGCTTATGGCAGTTGCCACCTCTATGCCCTCTGCTGCACCACTCGGCACTGTTGATCTGAAGGATACCATAAGAATAGCTGGAACCTCTCTTTGGACCAGTTACCAGATGCGTGTCCATCCCACTTTCGTATTGCATCAGGCAGACCCAATTGCTGATGAAGGACCTACTGATTCTGGCTATCACTAACTGCCTTGCAGCCTCGCATTGTGTGTATATCTTTCCTTCCACCGGCGAATGCGCGGTTACGATCATCAGAATGAACAGGATCCACAAACTCATCATTTTTTCACGTGAATGAGTATTCGCCGGGACTATTTGACAAGTATTAAAGTCGTCTTTCTCGATTACTTGAATTATTAATTGAGCGGTTATTCGAGCGATCAATTTGCGAGAAGAAATAATCCATCGGCTGCTTTATGTTGTTCTTGAAGAATTATTAAATTGTAGAATAATCTCATGATGTTTCAATATATACTTTGTGATGTTATAGACATACTTTTAATATCTAGGAAAATATTAAAAATTGATGAAGATATTCTTCACTGTCCGGCATTTTTCCATTAATAAATCATTCCTTTAATAATTTTAATCGAAATGTTGTTTGTTGTTATCGCTTCTGATAAAGAATTATGCTTGCGTAACACCCGGCTCGTCAGAATGTTTATAATTTCTTCGTAAAACTGAGATAAATTAATAATCTCAGGTTTTTTTCCGATGCGTAATGTGGTACAAGGTGTTGACAATGATTGCACTGAAGATTCACGCGGAAATCCGTCTTATAAACGCGATGTCTGTCGCGTTAATATCGCGGATGATCGCGGATGACCTTGAGCTTGAGTGATATACGCTATTTACTAACGCTAATAATAAAAAACACAAACCGCGATAAAACCGTCATTTCGCTTTTCGCTTTCCGCTGTTGCGCATTGCAACGCGATCTTGCCCCGCTTCAGCTTATTATTGCAAATATCCCATGGCTTTCACGAGAATTTTGTATTTCATTAATGGTATCGAAATTCTTTTTCCTTGATAACGTTTTTATTCTATTGTTTATCGTTTTAAATAAAAATTGTAAAGGATACCCATTACGAAGGAGAGTGTTAATTAGAGAACTGATGTTAATGTGATGGAATTTTGGATGGGAAAGAAATAGAATCTTGTTCAATAACCCAATCACGACACCTTTCTTGTATGGTAGGGTGATTGGAGAAGAAATTGAGAAATCTCCCACAGTAGGCTTTTTATACAAATCGAAAATAATACTATCATTTTCCCTCAACAGTTTTACATCTAAAAAATTGATACCCCTGTCATCGCCATAATCGACAGTAAATTTTATGCGCTCGTGGTACGAATTGAAGGAATCTAAAATGTTGGTAATAAGATTAGTAGGAGCCGCAAGCACGATATCGTCAATATCGATATCGTTATTTTTAAATAATATATAACTTATTTATATCCTTAGTTGTGGCTGTATGCTCTTTATTATTTAACCTTTGTAAACATAAGATAATTAGAATCATAGATGCGCTCCGGTGCTATTAACCTCTACGATAAAAACAACACAGCCTCTTCTCAGTAAAATTTTACATTACTTAGAATTCTTGGATTCTTTAACTCATGAAAATAATTGGCGAATGCAGATAGCTCACAAAGAAGTTCATTATATAACCCATAAAAATATAAAAAATATGAATATGATATCAAATAATGCATGCGATATTTTATATCTTGTTATAGTATAAATTACATTTTTCAGAAAAAAAAGAGGAGAAATAATTCTTAATTTTATATTATATATAATATTAATAATAAATGCAATATATTATTTTTTTTTATAAGTTTGTAGAAAAAAAGGCTATCACTACAATCAATCAAGACATATGGTGTTCGCGCGAAGCGTCCGTGATCATCAAAATAAGAATTAAATAGTTATTGTGCAAAACACAATGTTGTTTTAACCTGTTATTACTTTTATAAAGCTAGATAGATTAAATATTATGTTATTTTTACACAATAATTATTTAATAACTATTTTGATAAGTGTATACTTTTGGCACACATTTTTTATCATTAAAAAAAAAAAATAATTTGAAGGTAATATTTATTTAGCGCAAAATGATCAGATGCAGCTTTCTAATATGTTATAATTAACGCTAAGCGAAATAAAATTTTATTTTACGCATGAACTTGGGAGCAAGAGCAATCTTCCTAAAAATAAAATTGGAAAGACATCGGCGAAATCTCATTACGTACGGTTTTGTAATTCCAACAGTTGAAATCAGTTTCGCATATAGTGTCGTCTATTAAGCCAAGCAACGTGGATTTTAAACGGATGAGTCATAAGTAGTGCCGATCTAATCAGTTTAGATCCATATTTATAAAGCATACCATATTTATACCAATATACTTGATTTTTATTGCGTTCATTGGACGTACGATGCGCACATTTAAGATTGCACATTTAAGATGCGCACATAAAAGATTCTTTAATTAAAACAAATATGTAAATCTGTTGGAATACAATTTGATGGAATCAATTACATAAATTTCTAAAATTTAAGTCGTGAAAGATTACAAGAGATGCAAAAACTTTATAGAAGCGAGAAAATTAAAAGCAAAATTTATTAAGCTTCATATCGATTACAGTTAATGTGTCCAACAGCGTTACAATCACCCACTCATCACAAAATCGGATCGATCTCAATCTCGGCCATTCTTCTCCTACGTATACAGTTTGAAATGTCCGGTAGTGGTTTGTTCTTGCACTTTTTCATCCATCCATCCCAAGCCTTGAATCCATCCTGATCGACGATTTTCTTGGCACACGTAATATCGTCGTGTATATCATCGTTCAGGAAATCTTCGCAGCGCTTATTACAGTTCCCACCTGTACGTCCTCTGGCACACCATTTGTTACTGTTGATCTGAAGAATACCATAAGAATAGCTGGAGGCTGTTTTTGGACCAGTCATCAGTGCGGTGTTCATCCCACTTTCGCTTTCCATCAGACAGATCCAATTGCTGAAGAAGGTCCTACTGATTTTAGCTTTCTGCAGCTCTTTTACAGCTTCGCATCGCCCGAATATCTTTCCCTCCACCGGCGAATGGACAGTTAAGACCATCAAAACGAATATGATTACCAACGTTCCTTTCATTCTTTAATAGGAATGAATATTCGCTGAGACTACTTAGTTTGTCTTTCTTGAATCACTAAGTGGTTGGTCCGATGAATCAAGCAACTAACTTGCGAGAAGTAATCCAACGATAATTTTATATTGTTTTTGAAGAATTATTCAATTGTTGAATAATCTGATCAATAAAGTTTAAGCTTAAGTCGCAATACTTTGTAGTCTTGTAGTGTGATCTTGTAAACATTTACAATAAATGTTTAAGAAGATATTAAAAATTAATAAAAATATAATTTTTTATTTTCCGACGTAATTCGGCACTCTTTAATAATTTTAATCGTTGTTTGTCATTGCCGCTTCTAATAAAGAACTATACTCGAGTAATACCGACTCAGAATATGTTTAATTACTCGCTTTTTTGTTTGAAACTAAGACGACTTCGCGTTTCTTTCCGAAGCGCAATATGGCTCAAGGTGTTGACAACGATCGTTGACTGAGAAGTCATGTGGAATTACTCTGTCTTATAAATGCGTCGTCTGCTACTAATGCCGCGGACGATTAAAATGACCTTGAGCTTGAGCGATATACGTTATTATCTACCCACGCCGTAATGAGATTCAAGCCGATAAGACCATCTCTTTGCTTTTATACGTCATCGCGATCTCTTTTCGTTATGCCTTATTACTGCAAATGGCTTCCATAAGTAGAGAATTTTATTTCCAATAAGAATGGTGTTCTCGAAGAGATCATTAATGCTCTCTAAACAAACATAAGAGATAATAGAATTAAAGATTTTCTGAACTGTTATTGATCTCTTCGATAAAAACAATGCAGTCCCTTTTCAGTGAAATTCGCGTAATATATGTGAAAGTCTTGAGATCCTTAGATCACAAAGACAAATCACCAGTAAAGATACAGTTTACAGAGAGGCATTTTATAACCCATAAAAATTAAAGGGTATTTTACAACCTATAAAAATTAAAGGTACAAAAATCAGAATATGAAATCAGATATTTCATATTTTATTTTTTTATATTAATTAAATCAAAGAAAGGGGAGAAATATTTTCTAATTTTATATTACAATTATTAATCAATACGATATATTATGACGTATAAACTTGGAAAAAATCGTTATTATTGCTGTACACATAATTTGTTTACCGCGAAATGATCAGATATGTCATTCTAATATAATTAACACTTAGCAGAACATTTTATTTCGCGCAGTGAATGTAATAAGTATTATTATATAATATTTGTTGCCTTTAGTTTAATAACAATGTCAGTTCTGAAAACTCGTGGTGCAATATAAGGAAACATCGCGTTATTCTTCCACGAAATAATATTTTTTAAGTTATTATCTATCATCAAACAAAATGTAAATTACAAATTATCGCTGCTACATTTCTAATTATATTTGTCTAATTATATTTATCTTCCTTTCGTTGCGTCAAACGTCAAACGAAAGTTCGATAAGTTATCACATCTAGCACGAGTTATTAAATCGATTTATTTCTCGGTTCTCACAGCAGTTATTTTTAATTGAAGTTTGACCTGCTTTGCGTTTTAGATTATAGAGTTTTCCAGAAACTCCAATTTTTTCAAATCGAATTCGATGAATGATCGATTAATACCACTTACTTTAAATATAAGAAAGTTATAATAATATATTGAGGCCAAACAGAGAGAGAGAGAGAGAGAGAGAGAGAGAGAGAGAGAGAGAGAGAGAGA